TTTATTTAATTTAAGTGCTTTCAATCAAAATGGAAAAGCATCCTTCATTTCCCACCACCTGTTATTTCATAAACATGAAATTGGCCATTTGTCAAGTATTCAGATGCGCATACTTGTCCTATCACTAATAAATGAGCTTGAACCCTGCCATGTTGTGCTTCATTTCTGGAGCAGCCTTTTAAAGCCTCTCCGTGTTGATGAAAAAAAGCCACCATCAGTCACGACCCACACTGGCATGTCACTGACTCCGGCTGATTTAAGGACACCAAACCCAGCTTCACATCAAGCGGCTGCAGCATGCATTAGTGAATAAAAAAAGCAGAGATGACAAACTGCAGCTGCATAAAGCCAAAACTGCTGAAGAAAACATGAATGTGACATGCAGGAGCTATTTTTTACTGTCAAAATTACCCAGACCTTACTCAAACAAGCAAAATATTTGCTGTTCCAGTTTCTCAAAAAGGTGGATTTGATTGTGTCTAGCGTCATACATGAAAGATGTACCAGAAGAAACAAAATATTTAGTACTTGAGTATATTCAAATCTATTGGTGTGTTACACACTGCAAGTGACATGATGGACAGATGGTCTTATAGAGATGTAATGTGCTGGGATCACATACATGTCAAAAACAAGATGTAAAAAAAGTGAACATGGAGTCGTGATTAGGACAGAGACGTGCCAGACTGCATGTCGATCCACAACCAATAAGAGCGTCGGGTTTTTCAGAAACAGGCTTCTGGGACAAGCAGTGTGAGCTATGGTATGTCCACTGACTCTTCTTTTTGTCAGGTTTTAGACAAAGTCTAAACCAGTGTCATTAATTATGATGCACTTCATGGAATAAAAAGTTATCTGGTATTTGACAAGATTGTACTCACCATGTCTCCCAGATGGTTCATCCCCATCTCAAAGGAGTGAATGCCCAGCGCGGCCTCCTCGTTGTGAGCCTCAATCATGCGCATATTCTTCTCCCAAATGGCCCTGCGGATCCCCTCCTCACCCTGAGGGGAACAAAAGTACATGTCACTGTACTTAAGTTAAAAAAAGAGCTCCCTGTCTTACACTTGCAAAACAATCCACATTTTTAGAAGCTTTAAAAGTATCACAAATAAATGTTATAGCAGATGTTATAAAGAAGTCATTATCATTTCGTTGCTTCCATTATTATTAGAAACAACAGTGACCCTCCTAATATGAACAACATATTACTTTCTAGGATGATGATGCAGCCTCACTTTTGAACTGGTGTGAATGGTTTTCAAAAGGCGGTCATAATGTATAAAAAAAAATAAAAGAAACACTTTTTCCAGTCTTAAAGTTTGCTTTCCTTGTTTCCACACTCATGCACGAACACCTGACAGCTGAAAGAAACTAATCTAGGCAAACAGGACAAATTTGCATTATAATTAGCAGATTAAAAAAAA